TGGTCAGGAGGAGCACTGCTAGGTACCTCCTGCTGACATAGAGGGAGTCAATCGACCCACAGTCAGACTGGGGCCTCAGCCGCTCCATTAGGTGTCTTTAGAGATGGTAGAAACAAACAGCAAACAGCGCACTTGGAGGCAATATAAGCACTCACCGGGAAGACCTGGGGGCAGTCCACAGAGGATTTGAAGCCAGTGATTTTAGGCTTACCAAGAATCCCATATGGAGGTGGGGAGGTAACAGAGTGGGGAGCCCCTCAGGCATCAAAATGCTTCTAAACTACCTAAAGGTAAACTATTTACAGGAAAGGCTAGAATCCAAGTGGGAACACTAGCAAAGCTGCCATGATCAGTAGAAGGAACTGGAGAGACAGGTGATTTGCACCTCACCTTTTGCCCTTGGCTTGGCACAAGAGGAGACCCAGGACACACTGAATGCAGCTAGTAAAAATTTTCCAGTCACAGGCACATGGAGTGCATGTTCACCCACAGTGGCATACACATAGGGACCATCACCTGATGGAGAACAGTGGGGACACTACATATATCTCTATGTCTAACCAACTACTACCACAGCTGGTGCATTTGTTAACAGTCTCATGAGAATGAAAAGGTCACTAAGACCCTCTTAGCTCTCAGAGTAAAACCTCCAGACTTTGACTATTCAGCTCCGTTTTTCTAGAATGTTCTCTGCTTCTCTAATTTAATCTTCTTCCACCAAATTACTAAAATGGAAGAATTTACCAACACATTCTAGAAGCAGCTGTGTTGTGTGGCACTGTGATCTAGAAGCGCCAAATGCTCTACAAGCAGCTGTGTACTATGATATTCCAGAATGTTCACCGAAGCAGCAGGGCTGTGTCCCCCTTAATGCCAGAAATAGCAGGAGGGCAGAAAGCACACAACTACAGCTTAAGGACTGATGTAAGGAGCCATCTTGTACAAACAGATGAGTTCACACACACACACACACACACACACACACAAAGTGATCATATTTCTAGAACTGCTGAGTTATTCAATTAAATAAGATCTGGGGGTTTATTATGGAAGAATGACATGAGGTGCTTTTCCTTAAAAATACAACTGAAAGGACGCACCCCCAAAGGAGTCTTGCTAAATCCACTGGCTTCAGAGCACTATATGGGGTTAATCTGACTCTCTTGATAATACTTGACAGCGACCCCACAGTCTGTCGGACAATGCAGTGCCATCAAAATTGAAACACTTCACAAAATCAGGTTGATTTTGCTGGAATTTCATTTTGGAAGAAAACCAGGTAAACAAATTTTTTGATTTTTCATTTTGAAATGACTTTGCACTTTGAAATTTTTATATTCACTATCATAATATAATAAAGTCAAAATCAAAACAAAATGTTTTGTCAAAATGAAATGTTTTGATCAACCTGAACCCATTTTTTCCCCCAGGAATTTTCTTTTGCAGAGAATATGAAATGTTGAGTTTTCGCTCCTATTTGTAATGAAGCTAAATTTTGAAAATTTGAAATCCTTGAACTGGAACTTCTGTCCTCCACACAGCTCTCCTTGTGCATGTGTAAGTGAAACAAGAAGCTGTTCTGTGTATAATCTCTGGATAGCAGAGGAGAGGGGATATATGATTACTAGTAATGTCAAACCCAAGCTGTTTCAGTATAAATCATAGATGCCTTTGGGTTAAAGTAACATCCTCCGTAGCTTAGTACAGTTAATTAATTCAATATTGTATTAGTATCATCCCTTAGCCTCATTGTTAAGACCCCCTGAAATGCCATTAGCCCTGCATATCATGTCAGACTTGTTTTGAATATGGGTGTGATGGGATTTAGAGACACCCACCCACAGAGACTGATGGAGCAGTACTGGGCCAAGTGGACCCTGTCCCTGCTCAAAAGGGGACTCATATAGTTAAGCAGGGAGGCTGTTCAAAGAGAGGAAGCAAATTTGCAGCTTCTAGGGACAAGCGATCCATGGTGGAGGGACTAGACTGTGGCTTAGACTCAACCAGGAAGGTAGAGTCTTCCCCCACTCTCTGCAAAGAGAGAGCTGCAGTGTGCTTAGTTCACTGACTGGGAACCCCCACTGGGGAGAAAGTGGGCTGTGCCTACACACCAAACCAGACAGAGAGCAGGGAGGTAGGAAGCAGACCAAGGGAGACTAGTCAGGTGCACCAGGAAGAGGTGACTAACACGTTCCACACCTCTCCGCATGGGCCTTGGGCTGGGACCTGATGGAGATGGTGGGCTGGGTCCCCCTACATACCAACCCCCTACATACCAACCATCCGGTTTCTTTGTTTTGAACCTATGACCTTCACTCTGACCCCTGTTTTTCATTAGTTGTCCCCCGCAATCAATTGGTCCCTGGGTCCAATGGTCCCTCCTGCCAGGCCATGTGGGTGAACTTTGGGGGCACTGTGAAATTGACAGGCCATGACCTGCCCACTAGGCCTGCCAGCCTCTCAGTGAAACCCACAACAGTGGGAAAGAAAGGACCTCATGGTTGTATGAATCATGAGGGGACTCACCCAAGCAGTTTCTGCTGTGATCTTCCTGAAAACACCATCCTGGCCACCATGGATGTAGAAGCTCTTTACACCAATATTCCACATAAGGATGAACTACAAGCTGTCAAGAACAGTGTCCCTGATGAGGCCATGGCACACCTGGTGTCTGAGCTTTGTGACTTTGTCCTCACCCACAACCATTTCAGATTTGGGGACAACTTACACCTTCAAGTCAGTGCCACTGCTATGGGTACCTGCATGGCCCCACAGTATGCCAACATTTTTATGGCTGACTTAGAACACTTCCTCAGCTCTCGTCCCCTAGCGCCTCTCCTCTATTTGTGCTACATTGATGACATCTTCATCATATGGATACATGGGAAGGAGGCCCTTGAGGAATTCCACCTGGATTTCAACAATTTCCACCCCACCATCAACCTCAGCCTGGACCAGTCCACACAAGAGATCCACTTCCTGGACACTACAGTGCAAATAAGTGACGGTCACATAAACGCCACCCTATACTGGAAACCTACTGACCGCTGTACTTACCTACATGCCCCCAGCTTCCATCCAGGACACATCACACGATCCATTGTCTACAGCCACGCCCTAAAATACAACCGAATTTGCTCCAATCCCTCAGACAGAGACAAACACCTACAAGAACTTTATCAAGCATTCTTAAAACTACAATACCCATCTGGGGAAGTGAGGGAACAGATTAACACAGCGAGACAGGTACCCAGAAATCACCTACTACAGGACAGGCCCAACAAGGAAAATAACAGAAGACCACTGGCCATCACGTACAGCCCCCAGCTAAAACCTCTCCAGCACATCATCAATGATCTACAACCTATCCTGGAAAATGATCCCTCACTCTCCCAGACCTTGGGAGGCAGGCCAGTCCTCGCTTACAGACAGCCCCCCAACCTGAAGCAAATACTTACCAGCAACTACACACCACACCACAGAAACACTAACCCAGGAACCAATCCCTGAAGCAAACCTCGTTGCATACTCTGTCCTCATATCTACTCTAGTGACACCATCAGAGGACCCAACCACATCAGCCACACCATCAGAGGCTCATTCACCTGCACATCTACCAATGTTATATATGCCATCATGTGCCAGCAATGCCCCTCTGCCATGTACACTAGCCAAACCAGACAGTCCCTACGTAAAAGAATAAATGGACACAAATCGGACATCAGGAATGGTAACTTACAAAAGCCAGTAGGAGAATACTTCAATCTTCCTGGACATTCTATAACAGATTTGAAAGTAGCTATACTTGAACAAAAAACTTTAGCAACAGACTTCAAAGAGAAACAGCAGAACTAAAATTCATTTGCAAATTTAACACCATTAATTTGGGCTTGAATAGGGGCTGGCTCATTACAAAAGCAGCTTTGCCTCTCCTGGAATTGACACCTCCTCATCTATTATTGGGAGTGGACTACATCCACACTGATCGAATTGGCCCTTTCAACACTGGTTCTCCACTTGTGAGGTAACTCCCTTCTGTTCATGTGTCAGTATATTTATGTCTGCATCTTTAATTTTCACTCCATGCATCTGAAGAAGTGGGGTTTTTACCCACAAAAGCTTATGCTCAAATAAATCTGTTAGTCTTTAAGGCACCACCAGGCTCCTTGTTGTTTCTGCTGTGAATGTAGCTTTTGGTTTTAGAACAAATGTTTTCCGCAACTTAATTACACGTAGAAACCATTTTGCAAAGTTTTCAATGCAAACTGCGTTTTACAATGTAGGTCTTTGTCATTGACACTTTCCCCAGAAGTGTTGAGAATCCTAATATAACAGCATCCTTCTAGGGCAAGGGAAGAAGGAAGTGAAATTGACTTAAAATATGAAATTGACCAGATTAGTTTCACTGTCTAAACTGAGGGAAATGCAAAAAATAAATAAAAAACAAATAAACAAACAGCATAACTGACAGTAAATAGATTAGACACTCCTGACATTTTTGGTTCCAATAATCTAAGGTATTAGCCACACAGATAAGGAGTTAAGCCGAGATTTTCAGAAGAGAAGTGATTTGTATGTCCAACTTGAATCTTCTTAAGGGGCCCTGATTTCCAGGAAGAGCTGAGCATCCATCCTCTGGGAAAAAACAAAACAAACAAAAAAAAACAGGCTTTGCTATGGCATCTCAAATGGGGCACCCAAAATCTGAGACTCTCAAGTCACTTTGGAAAGCTTTAGCCTAATTATTTTCTCACAGATGAGTTTTATCCCTTTAACAAAATAGAAATCTCACAGAGAGGAGGCCTGTTAGTAGAAGATGTGAAGACGAGGCAGCCTGGTTTGGGGAGCAGGGTAGTTCCCAGCATGCCCTGGCTCAGGTGCAGCTACTCTCATGATCATTTGGAGGGAGCAGAGCCCTGTAGCTATAGCAGTAGAGCTATCCTACTAGTGGGATTTTAGGAGACATTTCTCTGCTTCCTCTCATCACAAGTCCTGGGCATCAGTCATGTTTCAGGGGCTTCACATCTACACATCCCCCCTTCAGGGTACGCCAGGGTTCTTCTGCATGGCCAACATCCAGACGGGGACACACTGCTCAGGGAAGCCCTCCTGCCTCTCCTGCTGCAGGATGGTGAGTCCGCTTTTCTCAACAAGGCTCCGGAGGATGCTCAGGTCTCGGATCACACTGCTGTCCAATGGGTCCAGGATACAGCCTTCCCGGGCCACGTTGTCCTTGAGAATGACAACGCCGTTATCCTTCAAGCCATTTTGACACCGGATAAGAAACTCCAAGAGATCTTTATCGGTCAGGTATCCTATAGGTGAAGAGACAGAAATGGGTTGTGGTTCACCATTCCAGTGCATCTGATTGCACTCCTCTCAGCTGGGGCTTGACTTCATCAGCTTATTTATACTCCACTTATTTGACGCAAAGTAACTAACAGAAGTGTTTCTCAGGGTGAGAGCAGGAGACTGGGACTCATAGGACACCGGGTTTTCTTCCTTATACCAGCACTCTTTTGCTGGTATAAGCTGCATCTACACTAGGAAGGTTTGGTATAGCAATGCCACCAAACCTTTTCTAATGTAGACTAGGCCTTAGAGTCTCAGATGTTGTGTCTTGGGAGCAGGTCATTGGGTCAACATGCCATTGGAGGTGTTTTTAAAGAGTTAATCGTTCACACGCAAGGGTGCACCAAATGCACTGAAATCACCCAACCATTAAATCTATGAGATGATCTGAAACAGGTCACTTCCCATTCCATAAACATGAATCAATGTGATTAAACCTATTTCATTTTGTTTCATTTAGCAAAACTTCTCATTAAAAGGCTCACAGTCATGCCATGTTCCTATTTAGAATGAAGATGATCTAGATTCCCTGCCCCATGAGCCACTTTGTTCTCCCTACAGCTTTAATTTCTTAACTTTGCTCAGATTTGGGATGGGACATGGTAGCTAGCATGTTAATGTCCCAGGCTTGTGCTTTTGATTTGGCCCTAAGCAGTTAAGGACACCCTTGAATTTGCCATTTTCTTGTTGCACTCAGCTGCCAGCAGGGGCACTTGAAGCTGGACGATCCAAAGAGTTTGGACAACCTTACTGCCGCTTTATTTCACACACAGCAGGTATTTGAGAAGCCTGACACCCTGTCCTCTTTTCCTGGCAAGCACGGTTCACTCCACAGCATTTGCAGGTAAGATAATAACACAGTCACTTGTGTTATAGGTACAGCTGATAGAGCCATCTATACTTAAGTTAGCCTAAGAGTTTCCATTATAAGACCCTGTTTTCAGTTGCTTCTAACTTTGCCAAACTTAACCATTTGGGTTAAAATATTCCATGTCATGTGTCTGCCACAGAGTGAATTTTTTTTAAGTTTCTGCAAAAATGGTTCAGCCATTTCCAAAACCAAGTTTAGGGAAAAATCTGATGTTTTTCCCATGTTAAAAAATGTGTACAAATGTTTCGTTACACAGCTCTAATGCCCCCATGCTGTGAACCAGAGTCACAGGGGTTTTTTTATAGATTCATAGAGATTCCAAAGCCACAAGGGACCATTGTGGTCATCTTGTCTGACCTTCAGTATAACACAGGCCAGAGACCTTCCCTAAAATAATTCCTAGAGCAGATCCATTAGAAAAAACACCCAATTCTGATGTAAAAATGATCAGTGATGGAGAATCCACCATGACTCTTGGTAAAGCCACACTGCTGCACTGACCAGGAATCAAACTCAGCTCAATGGGTTGGAAGGCGGCTATACACTCAACTATACCACCACCTGAACTGGCCCCTTTAATGGAATTCAGACCATAGCATGAGCCCCTTTAAGGGAGAGGGCCTCAGTCCTGTGACTGAATAGGTGTGCCCTGGCTAGGGCTGATTACAGGGCAGGGTAGCACCTGGGGTCAGAAGACATAAGGAGGCTTGAGAGCCAGGAAGGAGAGAGAGGCCAGAAGTAGGCTCCTGGGTGGTGGGAACTCCAGAGCCCCAGGGAGTGCTCCTGTGGCCATTGTCCTGTATAAGGGGCAGGGAACTAGGAGAGAACAGAGGATGAAGGAAGCCAAGGGCCTGCAGAGCAGTAGTGGGGACTTACCTGCAATCTCTGTGAGTGCTGGGGTGAAGGAAGGCCTAGAGGGCCCTGTGGTTTCAGTCCCATACACAGAGCAAGGAAAGAACCCAGATGGGGTGTGAGCCCTTCCCTAACCCCAGGGTGGCTGCCGTTTGCATTGTTGCTTTGTTTGAGTCTTTGAACTCCATTAGGGGATGATAGGGACAAACCCAGGAACCCTCCCCTTGAAGGAAGATTGGGGACTGAGGGAGAAGTAAGTGACAAAAGGCGGCAGAGCCAGAGGTGTTTGGAGTTACAATATGGGTCTTTGCTATATGCCTTTGAGACATGTATAATGATAAATTACTCCATGACAAGGGTGTTCTCAGCCCAAGGGAGTGTTGGGAGTAGGGTGACCAGATAGCAAGTGTGAAAAACCGGGACAGGTGTGGGAAGTAATAGGTGCCTATATAAGAGAGAGCCCCAAATATCGGGACTGTCCCTATAAAATTGGGACATCTGGTCACCCTAGTTGGGAGGGAAACTGAGGCCAGGTGTCTGCGGGGCACCTTCCTTCCTTGCGAGGGCGCTTGAGGAGGGCCTAGCCTAATACCACCAGGAACTTGAAATTTGGCAGCTAAATTCTTTGCAGAGTTCATCTGCACTGAACCTGCTCCATCCTCGACCTGTCCCCCTCACTCCTCCCCTCAGCTGATCTGCCTCCTAAGTAAACCCACACACACGTTGTGGAACTAACGTGACATTTTCTACAATCCCATTGTTCACTCTGCAGGAGTATTCTGACAGCTAAATCTTAACAGTAGATTTAAGCATACATTTAATCTCTGCAAAACACGATGTGTTTAAACAGAGGCAATACAGGCATGGTTGAGTTCTGACCACCCAAAGGATTGAATCCTACGGGGAAAATGTATTCCCTTCCCTGACCCTGTGTCTGTCTGGTATATTTTGATGGTAAGCTCTTCAGGGCAGAAAACATCTAATGCACGGTGTTTGTACAGCACCTAGCACAATGGAGCTCCATTTTGCTTGTCCTTAGGCACTACCATAATAAACATGATGACCAGACTATGATGTGCCATACCAACAGTGACTGAGCATGCTCCTTTCCAAGGCTGCAGAGGTGCAACAGTATTTTCCTGCAGTTGCTCCTCCTGGCAGCTGGGGACTGCTATGGTGCACTAGAACTGAAAACAAGGAAATTGTATCTGCTATCAAATATCAGGGGGTAGCCATGTTAGTCTGCATCCACAAAAAAACAAGGAGTCCAAGGGCTCCTTAAAAGACATGGAGAGAAATGCATCAGATGAAGTGGGTTCTAGCCCATGAAAGCTTATGCCCAAATAAATCTGTTAGTCTTTAAGGTGCCACCGGACTCCTTGTTTTTGTATCTTCTGTGTTCTCAATGCCGCACCTTGCCAGTGCCTATGCCCAGGCAATCTTAATTCAGGCATTTCCTAACTTTTGAGTACCTGACTTTGCAACCTCAACATTCTTTGAACATGTATTTTAATGCAATATATGGATGGTTCATTAAATATATAAATGGTGAACTAACCTGAAACCCACTGTATCCAGATGACATCATATTTTTGGGGGGCTGGAGTGAATTCCTGGAGGCTGTAGCAATAGTACATCTTTACTCTGTCCTTCTTACCCTGTAAATAGTTCTGGGCCTCAGCCAGGAAATTCTCCATCATATCCACCAGTTCCACGCTCTTGAAAACTGGCAAGAGGACATGCTTAGTGACCCGTCCAATCCCAGAACCGCAGTCGAGGGCATGCTCCGTGCCAGCTTTTCCAGGACCCTGTGGAGTACAAGAAAACCATTTAAAAGCCAGAAATAGCACCACCAGGAGGATCGCTGGATCACTCAATTAGTCCATCAAATCCACTTTCTTGCCTCCATCATAATTTTATACTTGACACTGAAAAGGAAACGCTGCATTGTGCACATAGTTGGTTTTGCAGTGCTGTACAGAATTTGATGGTAATGTCAGCACAGAAGGAAATTCTCCCCTGTCCCCTGCTGCAATCAGCTTACAGTCTAATGTATGAGCTCTGACTAAGCTTAACATGCAAACCTAAAAATATCATTACCAGACAGAAAATTATCCAGATGATTAACTCTGTGATCCCCAGTGGCAGGGAGTTTCACAGGTGGCCTGCATTTATTGGTCATTAACTTCATGGCATGCCTTTTTGGTTTTGGTCCGTGGGACAGGGTCTTGTACTAAACTCTTAACTTGAATGGCTCTATCAAGTTCCCCTGTGGGGGCTTGTCTACATTATAGCACTTTATCATGTTCAGGCATGATTGGGAAGAATCAAGTTAGCTGACAAGATTGGCCACAAATGACCATCAACAGGATATTTACAGTGTTGTGGTAGCTGTGTTAGTCCCAGGATATTAGAGAAACAAGGTGGATGAGGTAATATCTTTTATTGGACCAATTTCTGCTGGTGAAAGAGACATGCTTTCAAGTCCTGTGTAGCTCAAAAGCTTGTCTTTTTCATCAACCAAAGATGGTCCAATAAAATATATTACCTCATCCACCTTGTCCATCAACAGGATAGTAAAATGTTGGAGGGGGCCATGTCTCCCTCCAGTCGCTATGCCCCTGCCTTGGGAAAAATCACCCAACCTGTCTGTGCTCAGTTTACCCATCTGTAGGTAACCATATTTGCATACAGCCTAGAAATGCTGGAAGGCCTAATTAAGGAATGTTTAAGTGACATGTCCCTGACAATAGACTAGAACTTGGGACCTCCTAAATCCCAGCCCTGTGCTCATTCCTACAAAGCAGGGAGTCTTTTGCCTGGCACAATGGTGAACATAAAGTTTTCACAAGTCCTTAGTTTTCCTAAAACATTCACCCATTTCATAAAGTCCTTGCAAGTTCAGTTCTCATCTATTCACACCTACCCATCCACCAAAACCAACCTGTCACAATACCAACTGACCCCATGGTCCTCTGAAGACAACTAAATCTTAACAGTAGATTTAAGCATACGTTTAATCTCTGCAAAACACGGTGTGTTTAAACAAAGGCAATACAGGCATGGTTGAGTTCTGACCACCCAAAGGATTGAATCATATGGGGAAAATGTATTCCCCTCCACAAGGTACATAGAATTCAAAAATGGACAAATTGATTTTGCTGAACATTTTTTAAAAAACATCATCTCTGTACAGAGATTGGACATGATCAATCTCAGCACCACAGGTATGTGTATGAGAAAGTAACAATGAGCTGCTGAAAAAGGATGTTTCTAATTGATGTGTTTCTTGCTTAATTATAGCAGCAGCTTCTATTCTAGCTATACATGGGCTCTTAAGAACCTGCTGTTTTGCTGTAAAATGGGAATTTTAGCAGTGTGCAGGCATTAACTGTGAGACTGGAACTCCTCCAACTTAATTTGTCTTTAAAGAAAACACATTGGAGACAAATGTAAACACCTTCTCCCCTCTCCTATGTAAGTCAGTGTTGAAACGAAAGCTAAGGGCCAAGGTCATCCCTGCTGTAACTCCATACCTTTCAAAAAAAGATACATCAAGGAAGGATTTGGCTCTATCTGCTTATTAAACGACCTCCTTCAACAAGACTAAGAATAAATCATGTCAGAGGCTTGTATATCATCACTTCTTGGGCCCCCTTTCAATGATTAATTCAGCAGATTATTACGGTCAAAGGACAGTCCCAAGGACGACATCATGGCTATAAATATACTGGCTGTGCATCTAGTTACATGAGGTAGCTGTAGAATAAACACAGAGGCCTGGAAAGATCTCAGCCACTCACTCTACTGGTCCTGCTTTGTCCATTTCTGAAGATTAATCTGACCTTACTTGCAAGAGTGTGTGTCTGCCCTGCACAAGGTAAACCCAAAATTTTCCACAGGAAAAATCCCTGTTTTCCAACCAGTTCTAGCATAGCTTTTTACTGATGCATTCATCAGAACAGATCTAATTTTTCATAGAATCATAGAAGATTAGGGTTGGAAGAGACCTCAGGAGGTCATTTAGTCCAACCCCCTGCTCAAAGCAGGGCCAAGACCAACTAAACCATCCCAGCCAGGGCTTTGTCAAGTTGGGCCTTAAAAACCTCAAAAGATGGAGATTCCACCACCTCCCTAGGTAATCCATTCAAGTGCTTCGCCACCCTCCTAGTGAAATAGTGTTTCCTAATATTCCACCTAGACCTCCCCCACTGCAACTTGAGATCATTGCTCCTTGTTCTGTCATCTGCCACCACTGAGAACAGCCTAGCTCCATCCTCTTTGGAACCCCCCTTCAGGTAGCTGAAGGCTGCTATCAAATCCCCCCCTCACTCTTCTCTTCTGCAGACTAAATAAACCCAGTTCCCTCAGCCTTTCCTCATAAGTCATGTGCCCCAGCCCCCTAATCATTTTTGTTGCCTCCGCTGGACTCTCTCCAATTTGTCCACATCCTTTCTGTAGTGGGGGGCTCAAAACTGGATGCCATACTCCAGATATGGCATCACCAGTGCCGAATAGAGGGGAATAATCACTTCCCTCGATCTGCTGGCAATGCTCCTACTAATGCGGCCCAATATGCTGTTAGTTTTCTTGGCAACAAGGGCACACTGTTGACTCATATCCAGCTTTTCGTCCACTGTAATTCCCAGGCCCTATTCTGCCAAACTGCCACTTAGCCAGTCGGTCCCCAGCCTGTAAGGACTTGCTAATTGGCCACATGGAAATTCACATCAGAGAAGTCAGGGTCACAAAACTCCTTCCTTAGGCTGCCTCTTATCTCGGTTTCCTTGTAAGGGCACTGTCTCATCCTCTGTAAATGTATCTACTAATTTACATACTATTAGATATTGTCCATGCACCTAGTGTACAGCATGTAAATAACATGACAAATGTTCTTTGGCTAATTAAGAATGTTCTTGGCCTGTGGAGAATGCCTGATCCATGAACTCTTCACTAGCCAAAGAACATTAGTCATTATTCATTTTTGGCTTCTCAGTGCAATATCAAAAACCAAAACATTCTGATTGAAAATGGCACCACACTGCCTCCTGGGAGTTGTAGTTTGGATACCTTATGCTCCCATTGTCTGTTAGGCAGAGCTGTCTGGCCAGACTTCATCTCTCACGATGCACCATGGCCAGGAGCTCCCTATGAGGCACCCGCTTCCCTCAGCGAGAGGGGAGAAAGTGGTGTATCATGGAAGATGTAGTCGCACCTGGAAGGCCCACCTATTGGGGAGAATGTGAGCTTGAACCACCCCTGAACTACAGTTCCCATGAGCCATTGCAACTCCATTTTTAATCAAAATATTTTGCTTTTCAGCTGAAATTATCTGAATTTCAGGTGCCCTGTATTTTAATGAAAAATCAAAATTTTCCACAGAGAGCAGACACTTTTTTGCAAAAAAAAAAAAAAAAAAACCCCTTACTTGAGTTGAAAACCCAATTTTCCATTGTCAAACAGTTTTGCCAGACAGGCTTTTGATCAGCCTTGCTTTAGGATTGTTTGAATGGAAAACACTCTACTGGTTGGTTCCCTCATTCCATCTCGTCCCCTAAGCTGCTATCCTGTAGAAGATGTACATATTCAAAAGCTCTGGCAAGTAGCAGAATGAGGTGCCAATGGAGCTTCCTAGGGTCATGGCAGTATAAAATTAGTCTCTCTGGGGCACTGCCCTAGTGGGGCTCTGGACTCTTGCCATACCCAGTTACCACCATGGGGTTACTCCAGTACAAGCCACACCCTCTTAGTCCTTGTTGTGGGTCCTGCCCTTGTGAGCCCTGCTTGGTTGATGGGTGGGGGGGAAAGCAAAGGTGCAGGTTCAACACAAAACAAGCCCCTCCTGAGATCAATGAAAAGCAGAAATGGTAGAGGCACCGCCTTACTTCAGAGGTGCCTGGGTAGCCGCCTCAGTCTTTACCTATCGGGTTTGCCCCTGAAGTTCACTGGGCTCCTTGCAGAGCTGGGGGCGTTTCTGGAGTGAAGGTTCTTCCTGCTGTTTCAGGAGCTACTCCAGCCGCTCCCTTCTCAGGGCTTCCCCCTTGCAGATTGCAGCTTCCTCCTTTTTAAAGCTTTCCTGCTTCCCATGCATGATTGACAGGGTTACCTCAGTGCACAGAGCTTCCCAAGCCCCTTCTCTGTTAATGCAGAGTTTATACAGCCCATCACAGGCAGCCATGGCAGAGGCTCATGGCGTCACTGCTCAAGGCTTTGGAGGAGTGGAAAGGAATGCAAAGAAGGGCAGTGGCAGAGAAGGGATTAGAACACAGGAACTTTTCCATTACTGCTTCCTGTCTCAGAGGGAAAGCTGCAGGTGAGGAGGGAGGCACTAGAGTTGGTTTAAAAAAAAAAGTTATTTTTCCACAAAAAAAATCATAAAGTTTGTATTTTTAAAAAAATTTGCAATGCAAATTTGTTGACAAACACAAAATTAAAAAGGGAAAATAATTCACTAATCAAAAAAATATTTTTGATAAAAATTTTCAGTGTTCAGACACCAAAAACTTTACTGAGAATTGAAAACTTTTATGGCAAAATATTCAATTTCCATTTTGTCATCTAACAACTGGAAAACTTCAACCCAAATGAAAATTGTCCACACACACACAAAAAAAATCATTTTGGTCAAAAAGCCAATGTTAGTCAAAAAACATTCTGATGACAAGACTGTAGTCAGCTCTAGGAGTAATGGGATGCAGAGAGAAGGCAGAGGATTGGGCCATGAGTGTATTTGGGTTTGGATTCACTATACACCGAGTACTAGGCCAAACTATTTGGCATTCATTGGATAATAAAATAATGACCATGC